TATTTTTAATTAATTAATTAAGCTATTTCTCTTATAATAGGTTCTATTAATTAAATGCTAGGTAATTAATTATAATTTATATATTATATATAAGCTATGTTTTACACGTAATTTATATTTATAATAATAATTCTAGTAATCTTTCTCTTTTAAAGGAAAATATAACGTATAACGTTAATTAATTAAAGAGGCTTAAAAGCGTAATAAAATTTAAAATAAATATAAGTAAAGTTAAAAGAGAGTAATTAAGTAAGTTAAGTTACTATATAGTAGCCCTTAATACAACTAATAGGATATGAAATAGTAAAGATAATACTATAAATAATAGTAATTAAATCTTTTATAAATATAAAAGGTATAATACTATCTCTTTCTTATAATTCTTACTTATTTATAAGGCTTTTTCTTAACACGTTATTAAAATATATAATCGCTTAAGTTATTCTATTATTATTATTAAGTACACTAGAGCTTTTAAAGCTATTCTAGTATATTAACCCTTATTTCAAGTAAAAAAACCCTTAAAAAAAGAAAAATCTACTAGTATTTATAAAGTCTTTTTTACCTTATACTACGTTATATATAAGGCGTATTTCTTCTCGTATAAGTTATAAGTATTAATTATTTACTTTTACTTTATTTTTAACCTATTATCTTAATTTTTTATAATATATTATATTATAGTTATAATACGTGTTAGCTTAATTTTCTTTTACCTTAAAGCTTTAAGCCTATTAACTAATCTTTAAGGTAAGCTTAGCTTAATTTTACCCCTAAAAATTACGTGCTTAAGCACGGGTTAACCTCTTCTTTTTTAGGTAATTAAGCCGAAAAATTAGGGGTGTCTTTAGCCGGGTTTAAACCAGCTCCCTGCTAGACTAAGATAGGGCTCTATAGCGCTTAACCACTACGCTATAAGGGCTAAGTTATTCTATTACTTAATTTACTAGGGTAACGCGTTACACTTAAATTTATATAAAAGCTAGTAAAAAGAATTACCTTATATAATTTAAATAGATTTTAATATACTTGAAATAATTAATTACGCGTAAATATTAAGCTATTTAAGTTATTATATTTACTTATTATAAAACGTTTAAAATAAACGTTTACTTTTAATTTAAGTTAAAGAGAAATTAAAATTTAAAACGCTTAAATAATTATTATATAATTAAGTAATTTAATTAATAATTAAAGTATAATTATTTAAAACTAAGAATGTAAATATATAGTTTATAATAAGAAATCGTATTAAACGTATAATTTTAAGAATAAATTACGCTAACAAAAGCGTTAAAGATATAAATAATAAATAAGTAATAAATAAGAAAAATACTTTTAATTCTAATAAATTAATTATAGTTTTAATACACGATTTTTTTTAAGTAAACGTATAATTATTACTAGTTATAATATATTATAAATATTCCTTATTAAGCTAAGCTAATTAGGGCCTGTAGGCAACTAGATATATGGACAGTGTCACGTGACACTCCTCCCACCGAGTTAAGTTACCGCGGGAGTCTAACGCTGGTGTCCGTCGCCCAGCTAGCAGCCATTAGTTGATTCAGTAGCTAACTTCTACAGTTCCAGACGCCGTTACTACTTACTGCACCGGCACCAGAACACCAGCTTCTGCGCACCTTGCGATGAACCGGAAGTGCGAAACCACGCCACGTGCATCCCCCTCACCTCATAACCAGTCAGCAGTTTGCCTGAACCAGTGTGCCCTCCCAAGGGCTTGACTGGCCGCCTCCAATTGCCGTCAGATTCTCGCACGTGACGACCTTTCTTGCGTCTGGCTCTGCAGGCTGTTCAGTCGGCCGCTACTGAATTGCCCTCACCTCGCATTCTTCTCTCTTTGCCGTCTCGACCACAAACAGAAAGCACTCCCACGTTCTTCCTGGCCTTCGTCGTGCATCGACTTCAACTCCGCGCGACGATTTCGATTGCTCCAAAACAACCACGCATTCCCCCGGTTGCTGGGGCACGCACCCGAAAGGCATGTCGACGCCCACGACGGCCGTGGTCACCTTCCCTCACTACCACGACGCTCACGCTCACGCCCACGGCAACCACTCGCACCATCACAGCTGGCAGGGTCACCACTCGTCGTTCACAACAACAAATTATCGCTCCACAGCTGCCAATTCTTTGCTACACCAGTGCAACTCGTCCGTGCCTGAATCATCATCTTCATCGAGTACGGCACGCCTCCGGCCCTTCTACCAGTCCGGAAGCTGTATGACCGGCTACCCTTCATCGGATGGCATAACCCAAAACCATCCGCCCCAATCAGCGCCGGCGCCCCCTCCTCACGGCGGCCACTACATACATCGCAGCCATATTGAACCGTCCACTCCAACGACACCGAGATTTCGTACCGATCATAATTATTCATCCACATCCGCCATGGCCAGTGCAACGGCTACCACTACTGCCACGGCTGCTGCGAGACATGGGATTGCTGACCATCTCTCACGGAAACGCCGCCGCGAACCCGACTGGAATACTTTTTATCAAAATGGCCTTCCCAAGGAAATCATCGTCATTGACGATAGCCCTGACCCAGAGGCCTCTACTGACCGAAAATTGACATCATCAGGTACAGGTGGCCATACTTCTGCGTGTGCCATATCACATGAGACGAATTTTACCACCAGTCACCTTGTAAAGCGAAGACGGCGGGATGACGCTGCTCCCGGCTATCACATACAATATGTGGGCTCTCGCACAAACACACCAAGGCAAAATGCAACGCTCAACGACTCTACTCTCTCCAGTGATCGCACTAACTCGGTTCACAATACTACGGCACCGACCTCTCTTACATCCAGCATCCACTACGAAGACGCACCCGCTCCTTTGAAGCGGAAACGGACTACCCGCCGACAAGCTGCCAATGAGGCAAAACGTCGGGTCATTGATGTCCTCGGTGGCCCATGCCTCACGTACAAGCCACCTCCATTTCCCCCCAAAAAGGTCGCCGAAGTCCACGTCCGAGTCGTACATGACGTGAGTATCTCCATACTTGTGTCTTTTCCTCACCTCATCCCGGCTGTTCCTCTCACTTGGTTCCCGTGTATCTGCACCTCGCAAGTGTAGCGGAATATTATTGTCTTTGTTGAATGTGACGCTAATTAATGCCTCTTGGCGAACTAGCACTACTCAAAAAGGAAAGCCGATGATGACGACGGCCACTACATAGTCGTTCCTGGTGCGGAGCTTACGGAAAACTGCACGTTGAATTCTTAGGCCATCTTGCTATTATTACTGAATAACCTTAGCTGACGATGACTTAGATAAAATAACTCGCCTTCTTGGCCAAGGAACTTTTGGTAAAGTAGTCCAGGCGCACGACCGGAAGCGAAATGAGGCTGTTGCCGTTAAAATCATTCGATCTGTACAAAAATACCGTGATGCATCAAGGATTGAACTCCGAGTACTAGCTACTCTTAAGGCTAATGATAACGAAAATAAATATCGGTGCATACATCTGAGGGACACCTTTGACTACCAGGGTCATATTTGCATTGTTATGGACCTGCTAGGCCAGAGCGTCTTTGACTTCTTAAAAGGCAATGGCTTTGTGCCCTTTCCCAACAGCCAAATTCAAAACTTCGCTCGCCAATTATTTACCAGTGTAGCCTGTGAGTACAGCTCTTGCCCGTTTACTCTGTTCGCCCACTAACTTTTTCCAGTTCTACATGACCTAAATTTGATACATACCGATCTCAAGCCGGAGAACATCCTCCTAAGAGACGACAAGTATCAGGCATTTACTTATAACCGGAAAATCCCCTCATCTTTAACCACTATTAACCGGCAGGCCTCGCAACGGCGAGTGTTATTAAACACCGAAATTCGGTTGATTGACTTTGGATCTGCGACGTTCCAGGATGAATATCATTCCTCCGTGGTATCAACTAGACATTATCGAGCTCCAGAAATTATCCTAGGCTTAGGATGGTCATTCCCTTGTGATATGTGGAGTATTGGCTGTATCCTAGTGGAGTTCTTTACTGGCGATGCATTATTCCAAACACACGATAATCTCGAACATCTGGCGATGATGCAGGCCGTCATTGGCTCGAGGATAGACAGCCATCTTGTGCAGACCGTGAACAAGATGTCTACAAGGAGCGGTGGGAATCCTGCATCCAAGTACGTTAACGCGCCCACATGTTATTGTTCAATCTGTATTAATATGAATAGATACTTTAAACGCCTCAAGCTAGACTATCCCACCTTAGAAACGACACGAGGATCTAGGAGATTTGTTAAGTCTATGAAACGCCTCGAGGTATGTATCTCGCATTCTCGCATTCCCACTAACACCTGATCCACAGACCGCTAACTATTCTCCAAGGACATTATCCCATCAAATAATCAATTTTTCAAACATTTCCTCGATTTACTTCGGAAGATCTTTCTGTACGATCCCGCACAACGCATTACTGCTAAACAGGCTTTGAACCATCCGTGGTTTAAAGAAATCCCTCAACCGGACGACGGCACTGAAGCGGCCAAGATTCGTGAACGACAACATGGCTGACTTCCCTCCATTTGGGTCTGTTACCTCCTACCTTCCCTTCAATATAATAGCTATATATATGAGCATGATTATCGGAGTTAACGGATCTCTTTTATTTTGTTTAATAGTAGTTATAGGAAAGGGTAGTACGTTTTTAAACTTTATAGCCGAGTCTTTTTTGTGTGACTAGGATATAACGGATAGCATAAGTCGGAAGCAAGAGTTTCTTTTTTTACTATAAGGCCCCGGTGTTTAGTATACTATCCTTTATTATTAGGTGCTAATATCTTACTAGAAGGCTAACGAACTGGTTATAAATAACGAATGAAAATGGTGTCTTTAAGTAATAAGCTTAATTTCTAAAGATAATTTACGGTATCTTAAAGGAACTATTATTAAAATACTATTACTTATTCTTAATAATAATATAGTAGTCTAATTGTAAAACTTTATAAACTAATATACGCGAGTATACTAGAGTTAAATAGTTAAATTTCTCTTTAAATACTTATTTATCTTATATAATTTACTTATATAATATTATTAAGACCTAGAAAAGGTATATAATAAAGGATAAAATAAAAGAGTATATATTTCTTATTCTTTTAAAAAGTTTAGCTGAGAATTCTACCTTTATATATAGCTAAAATATTAGAAATATTAAAGAATTAATTCTTAGTTCTTTAACTTTATTTTATTAGTCTTATAAGAGTATTCTAATTGTATTTTAATTATATAATACTCTATAACTTCTTAAATATAAAAGATAATACTTTATAACCTCTTATAATACTTACTATAATATAAGATATAAAGCTCTTATATCTCTTTATAATAGTTATTAAAATATAGGATATAAAGCCTTATAACCCTTAAAATATAAGGGTTTTTAATGCTAAGCTTCTTAAAAGCCTATTATATTATATGGAGCTTTAAATGTATTATATTTTTTATATTTTTACTATATTATATTATATTATATTATATTATATTATATTATGACGACCTTTCTTGCGTCTGGCTCTGCAGGGTGTTCAGTTGGGCGCTTCTGAATTGCCCTCACCTCGCATTCTTCTCTCTTTGCCGTCTCGACCACAAACAGAAAGCACTCCCACGTTCTTCCTGGCCTTCGTCGTGCATCGACTTCAACTCCGCGCGACGATTTCGATTGCTCCAAAACAACCACGCATTCCCCCGGTTGCTGGGGCACGCACCCGAAAGGCATGTCGACGCCCACGACGGCCGTGGTCACCTTCCCTCACTACCACGACGCTCACGCTCACGCCCACGGCAACCACTCGCACCATCACAGCTGGCAGGGTCACCACTCGTCGTTCACAACAACAAATTATCGCTCCACAGCTGCCAATTCTTTGCTACACCAGTGCAACTCGTCCGTGCCTGAATCATCATCTTCATCGAGTACGGCACGCCTCCGGCCCTTCTACCAGTCCGGAAGCTGTATGACCGGCTACCCTTCATCGGATGGCATAACCCAAAACCATCCGCCCCAATCAGCGCCGGCGCCCCCTCCTCACGGCGGCCACTACATACATCGCAGCCATATTGAACCGTCCACTCCAACGACACCGAGATTTCGTACCGATCATAATTATTCATCCACATCCGCCATGGCCAGTGCAACGGCTACCACTACTGCCACGGCTGCTGCGAGACATGGGATTGCTGACCATCTCTCACGGAAACGCCGCCGCGAACCCGACTGGAATACTTTTTATCAAAATGGCCTTCCCAAGGAAATCATCGTCATTGACGATAGCCCTGACCCAGAGGCCTCTACTGACCGAAAATTGACATCATCAGGTACAGGTGGCCATACTTCTGCGTGTGCCATATCACATGAGACGAATTTTACCACCAGTCACCTTGTAAAGCGAAGACGGCGGGATGACGCTGCTCCCGGCTATCACATACAATATGTGGGCTCTCGCACAAACACACCAAGGCAAAATGCAACGCTCAACGACTCTACTCTCTCCAGTGATCGCACTAACTCGGTTCACAATACTACGGCACCGACCTCTCTTACATCCAGCATCCACTACGAAGACGCACCCGCTCCTTTGAAGCGGAAACGGACTACCCGCCGACAAGCTGCCAATGAGGCAAAACGTCGGGTCATTGATGTCCTCGGTGGCCCATGCCTCACGTACAAGCCACCTCCATTTCCCCCCAAAAAGGTCGCCGAAGTCCACGTCCGAGTCGTACATGACGTGAGTATCTCCATACTTGTGTCTTTTCCTCACCTCATCCCGGCTGTTCCTCTCACTTGGTTCCCGTGTATCTGCACCTCGCAAGTGTAGCGGAATATTATTGTCTTTGTTGAATGTGACGCTAATTAATGCCTCTTGGCGAACTAGCACTACTCAAAAAGGAAAGCCGATGATGACGACGGCCACTACATAGTCGTTCCTGGTGCGGAGCTTACGGAAAACTGCACGTTGAATTCTTAGGCCATCTTGCTATTATTACTGAATAACCTTAGCTGACGATGACTTAGATAAAATAACTCGCCTTCTTGGCCAAGGAACTTTTGGTAAAGTAGTCCAGGCGCACGACCGGAAGCGAAATGAGGCTGTTGCCGTTAAAATCATTCGATCTGTACAAAAATACCGTGATGCATCAAGGATTGAACTCCGAGTACTAGCTACTCTTAAGGCTAATGATAACGAAAATAAATATCGGTGCATACATCTGAGGGACACCTTTGACTACCAGGGTCATATTTGCATTGTTATGGACCTGCTAGGCCAGAGCGTCTTTGACTTCTTAAAAGGCAATGGCTTTGTGCCCTTTCCCAACAGCCAAATTCAAAACTTCGCTCGCCAATTATTTACCAGTGTAGCCTGTGAGTACAGCTCTTGCCCGTTTACTCTGTTCGCCCACTAACTTTTTCCAGTTCTACATGACCTAAATTTGATACATACCGATCTCAAGCCGGAGAACATCCTCCTAAGAGACGACAAGTATCAGGCATTTACTTATAACCGGAAAATCCCCTCATCTTTAACCACTATTAACCGGCAGGCCTCGCAACGGCGAGTGTTATTAAACACCGAAATTCGGTTGATTGACTTTGGATCTGCGACGTTCCAGGATGAATATCATTCCTCCGTGGTATCAACTAGACATTATCGAGCTCCAGAAATTATCCTAGGCTTAGGATGGTCATTCCCTTGTGATATGTGGAGTATTGGCTGTATCCTAGTGGAGTTCTTTACTGGCGATGCATTATTCCAAACACACGATAATCTCGAACATCTGGCGATGATGCAGGCCGTCATTGGCTCGAGGATAGACAGCCATCTTGTGCAGACCGTGAACAAGATGTCTACAAGGAGCGGTGGGAATCCTGCATCCAAGTACGTTAACGCGCCCACATGTTATTGTTCAATCTGTATTAATATGAATAGATACTTTAAACGCCTCAAGCTAGACTATCCCACCTTAGAAACGACACGAGGATCTAGGAGATTTGTTAAGTCTATGAAACGCCTCGAGGTATGTATCTCGCATTCTCGCATTCCCACTAACACCTGATCCACAGACCGCTAACTATTCTCCAAGGACATTATCCCATCAAATAATCAATTTTTCAAACATTTCCTCGATTTACTTCGGAAGATCTTTCTGTACGATCCCGCACAACGCATTACTGCTAAACAGGCTTTGAACCATCCGTGGTTTAAAGAAATCCCTCAACCGGACGACGGCACTGAAGCGGCCAAGATTCGTGAACGACAACATGGCTGACTTCCCTCCATTTGGGTCTGTTACCTCCTACCTTCCCTTCAATATAATAGCTATATATATGAGCATGATTATCGGAGTTAACGGATCTCTTTTATTTTGTTTAATAGTAGTTATAGGAAAGGGTAGTACGTTTTTAAACTTTATAGCCGAGTCTTTTTTGTGTGACTAGGATATAACGGATAGCATAAGTCGGAAGCAAGAGTTTCTTTTTTTACTATAAGGCCCCGGTGTTTAGTATACTATCCTTTATTATTAGGTGCTAATATCTTACTAGAAGGCTAACGAACTGGTTATAAATAACGAATGAAAATGGTGTCTTTAAGTAATAAGCTTAATTTCTAAAGATAATTTACGGTATCTTAAAGGAACTATTATTAAAATACTATTACTTATTCTTAATAATAATATAGTAGTCTAATTGTAAAACTTTATAAACTAATATACGCGAGTATACTAGAGTTAAATAGTTAAATTTCTCTTTAAATACTTATTTATCTTATATAATTTACTTATATAATATTATTAAGACCTAGAAAAGGTATATAATAAAGGATAAAATAAAAGAGTATATATTTCTTATTCTTTTAAAAAGTTTAGCTGAGAATTCTACCTTTATATATAGCTAAAATATTAGAAATATTAAAGAATTAATTCTTAGTTCTTTAACTTTATTTTATTAGTCTTATAAGAGTATTCTAATTGTATTTTAATTATATAATACTCTATAACTTCTTAAATATAAAAGATAATACTTTATAACCTCTTATAATACTTACTATAATATAAGATATAAAGCTCTTATATCTCTTTATAATAGTTATTAAAATATAGGATATAAAGCCTTATAACCCTTAAAATATAAGGGTTTTTAATGCTAAGCTTCTTAAAAGCCTATTATATTATATGGAGCTTTAAATGTATTA